TGTTGTTATTTTTATTTACTTAACATTGATATGTGTGTCTGTCTGCAGGTCATGGAGGTGGATACAGGTACGATACCTTCTTAACATCACCACAGCACAAACTCGATCAACGGAATTGACAACCTGTCTGTCTGTCTGTCCCTCTCTGTCTATCTCTCATCTGTCTGTCTGTCTGTCTGTCTGTCTCTCTTGTCTGTCTGTCTCTCTCTCTCTTTCTCTGTCTATCTCTCATCTGTCTGTCTATCTCTCTCCCTGTCTCTCCCTGTCTCTCTCTCTCTCTCTCTCTCTCTCTCTCTCTCTCTCTCTCTCTCTCTGTCTATCTCTCATCTGTCTTGTCTCTCTCTCTCTCTCCTGTCTCTCTCTCTCTCTCTTCTTGTCTATCTCTCTTCCTGTCTCTCTCTCTCTCTCCCTGTCTGTCTCTCTCTCTTCTTGTCTATCTCTCTTCCTGTCTCTCTCTCTCCCTGTCTGTCTCTCTCTCAGGTCCGGGCTCGGTGAGAGATCAGATTAAAATTATCAATGAGAAGTTTGCAGGAGCAGCAGGCAGCCAGTGGCAAAGCCAGGAACCATATCCTTCAGTAAACAAAGGGTTACATGTGTGTGTGTGTGTGTGTGTGTGTGTGTGTGTGTGTGTGTGTGTGTGTGTGTGTGTGTGTGTGTGTGTGTGTGTGTGTGTGTTGTGTAGTGTTGTGTATTATTGTTCTTTAACCGGTGTGAACGGGTTCTCAGAGGAGAGACGGTAAAGAGCAGCTCGGAGATTTCTTTGGGGATCGAACTCATACGCAGAGTGTTATCCTGCTACGTAAGACACGACACACACACACACACACACACACACACACACACACACTCTAAACATGTTCGTCTTTGATAGCACAGGTGAAAATGTTTAGCTAACAGTGGTAACGAGATGTTTGCTACTTCCTGTAAAGAAGTTAACACACTGACAGCTTTTATTTAACAGGTTTAAATGATTTAACAACTCTCCTTTTGTTATGCTTTGCTTTCATACCTGTCACAATGATGAGACAGACTCTAGTGGACACAGGAGGAACTGCCACTGTAAAGTTGTTTTTGGGCTTATGTGTTGACTTAATGTTTTTGTTCCAGTGTTTTGATGCTCTACAAGAAACAACACAATAGTTGTTTTCTCCACATGCCCACTAGGGGCATGGTGGAGTCAAACAGAGTATTCTGAAAACATACACACATTTTCAGAGGTCAGACGCCATTTTTAGAACATTATTTCTGTGTTTGTATTAAATCTTATTTTGTCCCCCGATTGGAAAAATAATCGTCCACCCAATGATGCAAAAACCAGCACACACACAGACACACAAATAAGTCATTGTTGTAGAATACTTACACTGTGTTAATGTGTGTGTGTGTGTTTGTGTAGGATGGACGACCTGGCTGTGGACAGCGATGAGGAAGTGGACTACAGCAAGATGGATCAGGTGAACTAGAATTCCTACTAACTGAAGAATTGCTCTGTTTTCTTTTTCTACATGAGCAGATCGACGGTCCTCACATTGTATGTAAAAAGTGTGTGTGTGTGTGTTTCAGGGCAACAAGAAGGGTCCGTTGGGTCGCTGGGACTTTGACACTCAGGAGGAATATTCAGACTACATGAACAACAAGGAGGCTTTGCCAAAGTAAGATCATTTAGCCCTTTGCTCTGACTGACGGGCTCCATCTAACGTAGTTATCCTGACAAGCAATGGCTCATTTATCCCTCAGCTCTGACTGACAGGCTGTGTGTTCTGTTGGCTGAGAGTGTGTTGATGATGAAGTTTGTCCCTGCAGGGCTGCATTCCAGTACGGCATCAAGATGTCTGAGGGTAGAAAGACAAGACGTTTCAAAGAGACCAATGAAAAGGCCGAACTGGACCGCCAGTGGAAGAAGATCAGCGCGGTGAGACACACACACACACACACACACACACACACACACACACAAACAAGAAAATAGAAACAACACAATATAAACTACATAATGTAAACAATGTAAACAACATATTGTTCGTGTTTCAGATCATTGAGAAGAGGAAGAAGATGGAAGCTGACGGGTGAGTTTCCTTTTTACTTTCTCATCTTCTAATATGTACACATTCAGTAAAGATTATAAATGTTCAGTAAAGATTATAAAGAGTAAAGATTGTAAAAAAGTATGTGTTGTTGTTTCAGGGTGGATGTGAAGAGGCCAAAATATTGAATTCTTCATCGTCTTCGTTCTGCTCATCAGAGGAAATATCAGTGATAATGATAATTAATCTGTTATAAACATGTAACGACCTGTCGTCAACATGTAACAACCTGTCGTTAACATGTAACAACCTGTCGTTAACATGTAACGATCTTAACATGTAACGATCTTAACATGTAACGGTCTTAACATGTAATGATCAGTGGTGTTTGTTAAGGACTGTGACAGTAAACAGTTAACCTGATGTCTGTTCAGTGAAAGTCAGAGACGTAATCAGTGATCTTATTGAATAGTAGTGATGCATTAGATTAAAGTTTCTGTTGATTTGAAATATAAATAAAGACATTGATAAACGTCTTTTCTCTGTGTTCCTCTGGTTCAGTTTTTCAAGGTGTGTGTGTGTGTGTGACAGAGACATCAAGGGTGAAACAGAAAACGTCGCACTGACTCAACATGTATGTTTTAATTATTTTTTTTCATCATTAATTAAGAGGTCAGTCTAATGAAACAGGAAGTAATCACAGGTGTGTATGTTTGTACTAATTAGTGTTTGTTGATCTCATTAATGGTCTGCTGTTGTTTCAGAGCTCGTTTAGCTCATTAAGACGCAGCAACTTGTTTGTTGTTGATGGAAACATGTTCAACACTTTGACGGACAACCGGACTGATTAACCCTCCAAATTACTGTCAACAAAGCTAACGAGTGTTTGCTAATTAGCCCCAGTGGTGTGTGTGTGTTGACGGACAGCTGCATTCATGAATATGTATCTGGGTGCGATTGAAGACGTTAATTAAGTGTTAACGAGCCCTCAGAGCTCCGCCCCTCTCTGGCTCAAACAGGAAGTTGTTTCTTTAGCCAGCCGAACATCACAGACAAAGTTTTAGTTTTTTTATGTTTTTATTTACAGCCTAAAAAAAATCATCCTGAATAAAGTTCATCAAACTTCAGAGTTTATAGTTCCAGTGTTATTGTTTATAAAATGTTCAAACAAATAACAACAACGAGCATCAACACAGATCAGGCGCTCAGATACTCAACTGTAAACTCATTAAAGAAGAATCATATAAATATTCATAATCTGTTTCCTTTGATGAGCTGATCCACACTCGGGTCGACTGAGCTGACCAATCAGAAGGCAACACACACCCACACACACACACACACACAGGGACAGAGCCACAGTCAGAGAGATGTACACTAAAGTTAGCTGGATGTTCTTAGTAACTTAACTGGGTCAACGTGGAAATGAGGTCTGTGCGTGTGTGTGTTAAGAAAACAAGGCTAAAACTCAGCAGGTTAATGTCATGACACAATTCACACATCCATCCATCACACACACACACACACACACACACACACAGCTCAGTATGTGATTTTTTTTTTTTACCAATCAGGGAGCAGGATTCACTCTGAGCTGAACCGGGTCCTGGACGTGAAGTAAGGTTAGCTTAGCATAGTCGTTAGCATAGTGATGTAGCCAAGTAGAGAGAGAACCAGTCAGACCAGTACATAATCAGTTAGACCAGTACAGACTGGCTGTATGTACAGGAAGAACCAGTCTAACCAGCCTGTATTCCCATTATTACCAGTGACATCCGCACTTTCACACTGGTTAGACCAGAAGTAGTCCAGTTTAACATAGCTATAGACCAGTATGAACACAGACTGGGCCAGTTATAAACCAGTGAGGTGTTCTTATACTGGTTCAGGTTATACCAGAAAACACCAGTTTGACCAGTACAAGGACTGCTTCATGATTCTCTGATCAGCTCATTAACAGGTCGAGCTTGTCCTGACCACGACCACTCTGTGATGTCACTCTGCACTGGGTCATGTGACCTAAATAACCATAACCATAAGTCTTCATTCATTCAACTCCTTAATATTCTGAGCTCGTTAAAGCTGACAGCTCGTTAAGACTTGTCGCCTGTTTCAACATATTCTTCTTCTGCACTCCATCATCAAACACAAAGTAAAGAAACTCTGCCCTCCACAGGTGAGAACCTACCACACCTGCTTTTCAGCAGATCACAGATCCAACATCTTTTTTTAACTTAAAGATAAAACTTTTTATAAACACGAGTACTCTTCAGCTGCAGGTGTGTCACCTGATGAAATCAGCATTTTAAACTTCTCCCACTTCAAAGTGTCCACACAGCTCTGTTCCTTTAATAATAATAAAGATTATATGAGTAATAATTATAAATGTAACAGTTAGAAAATCCTCTTTAAAAACAGGAAAGTGGAGGAGAAGTGGAAGATGGGATTTGTAGTTCTTTGTTCTTTTATTCTTGTTTTAAGTCATCCTCCTCCTCCCTCATTCCTCCTCCCCATCCTTCCCTCCTCATCCCTCAGTCCATGGTCCTCCTCCTCTGGTCCTCCATCCTCCTCCTCACCAGGTCCTCGTTCCTCCACCCTCCCCTGGTCCTCCTCCCTCTGTCCTCCTCTCCCCTGATCCTCCGTCCTCCTCCTCCCCTGGTTCTCCTCCCTCCTTCTCCTTGGTTCCTCTGTCCTCCTCCTCCCTCGATCCTCCTCCTCCCCTGGTCCTCCTCCTCCTCCCTTGGTCCTCCTCCTCCCTCAGTCCATGTTCCTCCTCCTTCCTTTGTCCTCCTCCTCCCCTTGTTCTCCTCCCTCCTTCTCCTTTGTTCTTCCATCCTCCTCCTCCTTCCCTCCTCCTCCTCCCTCGATCCTCCTCCTCCCCTGGTCCTCCATCCTCCTCCCTTGGTCCTCCTTGTTCCTCCGTCCTCCTCCCTCAGTCCATGTTCCTCCTCCTCCCCTTGTTCTCCTCCTCCCTTGTTCTCCTCCCTCCTTCTCCTTGGTTCCTCCATCCTCCTCCTCCCTCGATCCTCCTCCTCCCTCGGACAGCTGTGATGTCTCAGAAGAGGATCGGAGGTTTGATGAATGGTCGCTTCTCTGATAAACCAAAAAAATATGAATGAACATTTTAATATTTAAAACTTATAGTGAAATCAACATTTTTTTGTTTATTCCAATTTCTAACTTTTATGTTTGGTTCTCCCCCGTGGTGTGTGTGCGTGCGTGCGTGCGTGTCTGTGTGTGTGTGTGTGTGTGTGTGTGTGTGTGTGTGTGTGTGTGTGTGTGTGTGTGTGTGTGTGTGTGTGTGTGTGTGTGTGTGTGTGTGTGTGTGTGTGTGTTACCCTGAGCTGTCGAGTTCTCTGGTCTGTTTTCCGGCTCATTCTCAGGAAGTTCTGCGTCTGAACAACACAAACAGACGTTAGAGGAGGAGGAGGGGGAGCAGGAGGAAGAGAAGAGGAGGAGGAGGAGGTGTGTGTTGCTGTAGGTGTTTACCTGTGAGGGGGTCGGAGTGATGCAGCACTCTCTCCACCTGCTCCCTCCTCCTCGACTCAAAGTCTAGCGCCTCCTGCAGTCTCCTCTTGGCCTTCTTCTCCTTCTTCAGCCTCCTTTGGATGGAAGCTGAACACAAACAGGAGTCATAATGTCAGCTCAGTATGTTATACCACTTTATTAATAAATCTGTTATATATGTTTAATATGTGAGTCCACTTTACTCTGAGGTTTACGGTAAAAGACCCACTAAAGAGTTTATAACCACAACATGACCTCAGACTGACCTGTCTCACCTCAGTATGACCTGTCTCACCTTAGACTGACCTGTCTCACCTCAGAATGAGTGATCTGTCTCACCTCAGACTGACCTGTCTCACCTCAGAATGAGTGATCTGTCTCACCTTAGACTGACCTATCTCATCTCAGAGTGAGTGACCTGTCTCACCTCAGAGTGACCTGTCTCACCTCAGATTGAATGACCTGTCTCACCTCAGTATGACCTGTCTCACCTCATTATGACCTGTCTCACCTCAGTGACCTGTCTCACCTCAGAGTGAGTGACCTGTCTCACCTCAGACTGACTTGTCTCACCTCAGTATGATCTGTCTCACTTCATTATGACCTGTCTCACCTCAGTGACCTGTCTCACCTCAGAGTGAGTGACCTGTCTCACCACAGACTGACCTGTCTCACCTCAGTGACCTGTCTCACCTCAGAGTGAGTGACCTGTCTCACCTCAGTATGACCTGTCTCTCCTCAGACCGACCTGTCTCACCTCAGAGTAATCTGTCTCACCTCAGACCGACCTATCTCACCTCAGTATGAACTGTCTCACCTCAGACTGTCTGTCCCACCTCAGTATGACCTGTCTCACCTCAGACTGTCTGTCCCACCTCAGTATGACCTGTCTCACCTCAGGCTGACCTGTCTCACCTCAGTATGAGCTGTCTCACCTCAGAGTGACCTGTCTCTCTTCAGACCGACCTGTCTCACCTCAGTATGAACTGTCTCATCTCAGTATGACCTGTCTCACCTCAGACTGTCTGTCCTACCTCAGTATGACCTGTCTCACCTCAGGCCGACCTGTCTCACCTCAGTATGACCTGTCTCACCTCAGTATGACCTGTCCCACCTCAGAGTGAGTGACCTGTCTCACCTCAGACTCACCTCAGAGTGAGTGACCCATCTCTCCTCAGAGTGACCTGTCTCACCTCAGTCTGACCTGTCTCACCTCGTGTCTGTAGCTCGGAGCTCAGCCGTCTCTGTAGAGTCTGTCGAACGCCCCTCTCTCTCTCCAGCTCCAGTTTTAACTCCTTTCTTTCCGTCTGGTTCTGTTTGTCTTGAGAGCGAGCGCTCTGCACCGCCACCTTCAGGAGACCCTGAGAGTGACAGACATGTACTGAGCACAGGGTTCACTGAGCTCTACATGATCATTATACTAATT